TAAACCCTTGCTATTTATTTTCAGTTGCATTTTTGTACCCATTAAACAGCTAGGAAGAGAAGACAGAGAGCGATGGAGAGAGGATAATAAGTGAAGCTTTTTAGGTGCTTCTTCATTGCTTTGAATGTGACAAAAGTTCCTGAAAGTCCAGTGCCTAGGGAGCCCACTCTCAGCCTCCCTTCACTTCGACAGGGGCCATTTCTCTTGTTTGCCTCTCTTGTGATGGTGTTTGCGTATTTTCACAGCCTCTGTGGAGATCTTCCCTTTCACTTCTTGCTTTCGCAATGATTGTGAGCTTACAGTGAAACTGACCTAGAACCAGAGGAAGTAAGCGCAGGGTTGAGTTTTGGTCCAGCAAAACCAGCTCTCACCACTGCTTATCTTCGTGTTTATGTTGGTCGTCCTTAGAGAAGCTGCGAAACCCCGACTGACATGTGCTAGTTCATGTGTTCACTAAACTTGTGAGGTTTCCTCAGACCCATTTATCAAAATAAAGGGCTGTAATTTGGGGTTCAGAGAAGGAAAGCAGTATAGAATATTAGAGCGCATTGGGACTTTACAGACATTCATTTTGCAAATGAGTATCCTCTCTTGTTAAAGGTCACCCCTGCAAAGTTGAGACTAGGGAACTGGGGATGTGGAAGCTGTATGTCTATGCCATTGTGTTTATCACCTTCCTTGGATCCATCCTGAACTAGTTCATGTTTCGTACATAGAGTTTTTACTCTTGTTAGATGATTGTATAGAGATTAAAGTTCTAGCTTTTTATTTCTCTGTAGAAAACCTTTAAAAAACAAGGTCAATTTATCTTCTGAACCTTTTCCCCAAATATTCTCCTTGAGTTCCTCATTTTAATACAACTGGTCTGCTTCACGGGAAGACCTCGTTTCTTCCTTGAGCTTACAGCATTTCCAGGCATTCTCTTTGTTGTTCCATTTATCTTCAGAACCAGCCAGCTTTCAAAATCCTTGTCAAGGGCCACCCTCCCTATGCTAGCTCCCATCACACACACCCCATTTCTTTTTGTATGCTCTGTATTGCTCTCTTTCTCTTTTCACATATATAAATATCTCTTCTGTAGGTAGGCCTTAAGCTTCTTGAATATGGGATGAGAATCTGATTCATCTCAGTATAGGATGAAAATCTGATTCATCTGGAGCCCTAGTGTCAGGCAAATACAGTTATTCATTCATTAAATTAACAGACATTTTTAGTGAGTATCTATTACATATCAGGCCCTAGGAGTTGAGAGTGATAATTACTTCTGCTCTTCAGGATCCAAGAGTTTAGTTTGGGTTACAGGCAAGCGGAGAGACAGAGATGTGTGATGAGTACAGCACTCTGGGTGTTGTGGACATGCAGTGAAAGGGTATATAACTTGATCTGGATGATAGAAAACATGAATGATGTCTTTAAGGACCAGTGAGTAGTGATGCTCGGGATCTAAATGATGCGTAGTAGAGGAGACATCATTTTAATTGAGAGGTAGTAAAATCGAAATGGAGGGAGATCAAACCTAGAAGAAACGGATGAATTTCCAGCAGAATATGAAAATGACCTCAAAAGAAGCATAAAATGGTTTCAACTACCATAGAAATTACTGGAAATAGGATTAAGATTGATTATTTAAAGTATCACATCCAAATGACTTTACAGTAAGTTCTGATAAACTTTTAAAGATCAGATAATTCCAACCTCATCATTATTAAACAAATCTGAACAGTAGAAAAGGATGTAGAACCCTCATATGAAACCTAATGATGAGAAGTAACACAAGTAGAGAAACAACACTATAGAATGATCTTACTCATGATTCTATGTACAAAAATTCTCTATAAAAGAGCATATTTAATTCATCAATATATCAAAACATTGCAACTGTGACTAAGTAGGATTTTTTCTAGGAATGCAGAGATGGTTCAATATCTGGAACTTAGCAGGATTCTTCACATTGCTAAATTGAGAGAAAAAGAGATGACCGTATCGGTGGAGGCTAAGAAGGGAGATACAGAGATTCTAAAGAGAGAGGAGTAACCAAAGAGATGGGCATTCATCCACTTACTCCTTTGCCCATAACATAGCTTTCTAGAGGCTTCCTAGCCAGACACTGTGCTCGTTTCGTGAGACTGTTCAGAAGCTTCCAGCTTCCTGGATCAGTCCATGTGGATTGTTGTAAGTATGGTCCAAGTACTAGAGGAACCTGGAATTAAGCTACTCTTTTTTGTGGGAGGGATGTGAGGGAAATATTCACAGCATCAGAGACATTTGAGCTGGGTCAAGATAAAAAAAAAATCGGGCTTGGTAGAGAGTGAAGGGACTGAAATGGCAATGTAGATGGTAGACACAGCATGAGCAGGAGTGCAGGGTCAGCAAGATTCATTACAAATCCTGTGAATGGTGTCACTGGACCACTGTGGACATACAGAAGAATGGTATGAGGGGGCTGCATTTGAGGTCATCTCTAAACAGGTGGATGACCAGACTCTGGTACTGTCAGGAGGTGGAGCTGGAGGTGTGTTCATGGGGAAGGCAGCATCAGAGTAATATGAGGTATTGGGGATAACTATAAAGATGATGGAGTCAATTAGTTACATATTGATGCTTAAATTTTCATTTTTTATACTTTCCCAGAAGTTGCCTGTTCTTTTATATCTATGGCTTATCTGAAAAAGCCAGGATTCTACAGTGAATTGGCAATGTGGGATTGATCTGGAAATGTGCCTTTTTGCTTTAGAAATCACTGAATCCTATATTAACCCATTTTTTTAAGTTTCTATTTTGGAATTACTTTAGGTTTATAGAAAAGTTGCAAGGGTGATATTAACCCGTTTTTATAATGTACAAATAACATTTATGCTACACATGTGCAGAGTGCATTAAAGTTTTCATATCTTTATTCTGTGCTCCTTGGTTCTGACCTATGCTCACTTTAGTCATGTTGAAAGCAGAACAGACACTTTCATCCCCTTTCAGTAGAAGACTGAGACTCAATTAAAGAAAAATACTTATACAAAACTAAGTTTAGCATTTCTCAATCCTAAGAGATGGGATTTTTTTTTTTCTTTTCGTTTTTTTAATCTCAGATGATTGTGAATGCGCAACCAGGGTGAAGAGCCATGAGTAAACCAGATTCGTGGCTCTTTTTCTCTATTGGTTTTGTGCTGGGCCTTCTTGCTGGTTTTAGAAATATGTTAGATCTGGTTCTTGCCCTTTCAAGGAACTCACAGTGTAGCAAGTGTCTATGTGTAGCCTGTGTAGACGGGACAAGGGAGGAAAAGGAAGAGCAGGGCCGTGCAACCAGGCGAAAGCCTGTCACCCTGGGTTCGCTGCCCGAAGCTTCCAGATTCCTAGTTGAGAGCCTTCCTCTTCCATCCCTGTCATCCTCCTTTACTGCGAATACTGCACTTCCAACACTTTTCTTTCTAAAACCCTTCACAGGTGTTATCTCATCCATTGTCTGAAAACTCACAAGTTAAGGAGAACAGGGCTTTATCTTAATTTCGAGGGAGTTGAGGTCCCTGAGGCCCTGATGCGGGGAGGGGACTGTTCAAGGTCACGCCACTCCCTCTGATGCCACCTTCGCCACCATGGTGCCCCGTCCCTCTCTGTCACCCCGCATCTCTGTGACCCTGCTGCGTCTAAGGCCTTTGTTTTTCCTTGCATTTCCAGTGTTCTTTGTCTTTACAGACATCTGGAGGTAATCATGCAGACCTCTCAATTAATTCAGTTCAATTAATAAATTACGGGGTGGATTTGGGGCTGGGAGCCGGCGCAGGGTGCCTTCCGGGCCTCCCTGTGCTGGAGAGCTGTTGCAATCAGACTTGGAGAGCCCTCTTCGTCAGCAAGCAGCCTGGGAGGCTCAGCCCCAGCCTGTAGGCTGCCTGGAGGGGTGACTGGCTCACCCTGACAGGCAAGACATCATTTCTCTTTCCTCACACGCTGTATTTGTAATCTGATCAGAATAGCACTTTGGCTGGGCTGCTTTGCCTGCTCCTGGTTATGTTTTTCACAGATGTTCCCTCTGAGACTCACTCAGCAAGGCTCCTCATGGTTGTCCCGTGCGGCCGGCCTGTTCATTATGGGTTCGGATATTCCTAGCCCTTGGCTATTAAGTGCCAGTAGGGGCCCAGGCTCTGTGGCCCCCAGGGTTCCCCTCCCCCCAGATTGCAAATGCCCCTTGGTGGGGAGCATAACCATTCCCACGAGAAGAATCATTTTTAAGTATCCTGAGACACGCTGGTTATGCCTTTGTTTCGAGAATAAACTGTTGGAGCTTCCTTGATGTTGACCCAGTAAATTCAGGTTTTCCTGTCTGTACTTTGGTTCCATCCCATGTTTTAATTGCTTACTAGCTGCTTTTCCCTCGTCCCCCTCCAGTCACACCAAACACGGGTGCTGTGTACTTTCTGACCTATGCTGACATGGTTCAGGCCAGCCCCTGCTCAGCACTCAGGGTCCAGTCTGAGGGGCAGCTCATTAATGAGGTCTTTGTTCTGCTCCCTTGCCAGAAGTAATCTTACCGTGTTCTGCACCCCAGAAACTTTTTACTTATTTTTATCTCACTTAGGCAATATCACCTCATTTAGGGAACTTAATCACGACTTAATTGATGTGGTATTCATTTCAATAGGTTATTAATAAAATTTATGCTTTCTTCCAACCCGGCTGGTATCAGACTCTCCTACCGTAGAAACTTCTTCAGGTTAAGGAGCATCTCTTACCATATCTATTTCCTGACGAGAGTTAGACATTAAATAGGTAATTGTCAGAAGACGTGTTCAAGATTGGCTGAGGGGAATGTGCCATTTTCTTCTCCTCCAGTGAAAGTCAGTGTTTCATCCTCCTCCTCGTCCCCTCATTCACCATTTCTCTTTTTCTTTCCTCCTCCTTAGAGAGCTCTGTCAAGATTTCATCAAGTACGAATTCAGAGGATATAATGTTGAAGTATGGTAGGTTGCCTGCATTTTCAGGCTTCCATAAACCAACTCTATTTATTTCTCTTTAGTTCCAGATTCCAACAATGTCTCACCCATCTTGGCTGCCACCCAAAAGCACTGGTGAGCCCCTCGGCCATGTGCCTGCGCGGATGGAGACCACCCATTCCTTTGGGACCCCCAGCATTTCAGTGTCCACACAACAACCACCCAAGAAGTTTGCACCGGTAGTTGCTCCAAAGCCGAAATACAACCCGTACAAGCACTCTGGAGGTGAAGGTAAGTGGAGGGCTTCAGAGTCGGGTGCCCAGAGTGTGGGAGAGTTCAGTGTGAGAAAAGTCATCTATCTGCACTATGCTGTGTCAGAAAAGGTAGCTCAGGAATTCAGTGTGCTTATAGTTACTAGACTGTCAAAGGTTGAAAACTATCTAGAAGCTATCAAGGCCAACCTTTCTTTTAGGGATAAAGAGAGTGAGACCTCTTAGGGGTTATATGGCTGTGGTTATACAGTGAGTTAGGGCCAGAGCCAGAACTAGAACCCTGATCTTTTCATTCATAGTTCAGTGCCCTTCTACTGTGTTTACCTTCCGCTCCATCCCATTGTCCTAGAGAGAGTGTCTGTCACCCGGTTGCACCTCCCCCTGGCTGTTGGACACGTGCCTCCACATGCTGCCAAGAAGTGGTCTGACGGGAAACCCTTAAGGAGTGAACCTCACAAGGCACCTGGAATTGTTAAGACTAAAATTGTTAAGACTCCCCTAGGCTGCTGTAGGATAAAGTTGTCTGGAGAGCTCAGTGAGATCTGCATTTGCTGAATGTGAGCGTAGCCGAGTTCCAGGGGTGGTGACAGCAGTATGTTCAATTTTCATCAAGCAGGAGTTGGACGAGCCATGGGAGCTCAGCATGTCAGGGGGTGCTCCTTCCGGCACCGAACGTCGTAGGCAGCACGAAGAGTGCCATACTTTTGGGTTGAAGAGCTTCTGTATTTTTACTGATCAATGTCAGCAGCTCAGCCCAATCCATGAAACAATGACTTGTAACTGACAACAGAGGAATGGTGAACTTCTGGGAGTGGAGAGCTGAGAGACAGTGAAAGGAGATTCAGCACCCTCTTTTTGTGTTTTCTCTCTTACCCCACCCCACTTCAAAACAATGACCTTACAGTCCCCTCGCTGTGATGTTTCTTATTGCTTCTCGGGTGACATGCGTGTGTTTCTTCTGGCAAGTTTTTGTGATACTGTTTTACACTCTGTGGTATAGTTCGGTCTTTCTCTTTTCCTCCCAGTCCTCTCCCTTCCCCCAGCAAATACATCACTCGTCCTTTGGTGTTATCATTAGAATCGAGTGACTTCGGGAGTCAGAAGCCTCTTCCAGATATCCAGCTTGTGTGAGGGGGGCTGGACGCTTAGGGAGGTGGTGGGGAAGTTGGGCATCAATGCGTACTCTTGAGCTGGGGCTGTGGATTTTTGGGTATCCTTTTTCCAGAGAGGGCAGCAACGAGACCATCAGAGAGCCACTCTGGAAAAACAGGAAGTGACACTCTGGGTGCTCTACTAATCTCCATGGCAGTGTCTTGAGTTTTATCGGTCTTGAAGGAGACTGCCTCTCCACAGTCAATCTAAGGCTTAGGGGAAGGGATTTTCTTTTTTCTTTAGTGGTGGTGCTTTAGTGGTTGCCAGACTGGGGCTAGGATTTGGAAGAGAACACCTCCTCACTAGGACAGTAAGGGATATATATATATATATATATATATATATATATATATATATATGTTTTCTCAACATTTTCCCTTATTTGCTTCCTTTTATTTTTTATTTTTATTTATTTATTTTTTATTTATTTTATTTTGCTAGGATTTGGAAGAGAATCCCTCCTCACTAGGACAGGAAGGGCCGTATATATATATATATGTTTTCTCAACATTTTCCCTTATTTGCTTCCTTTTTATTTTGTCCCCTAATTTTTTTTGGGAAACCGGAAATGGACTTCCCTCTCATATGAAAAGAATAAGGAGTAGGAAGTAAGCGTGTGAGGAAGGCTTCATTGTTTGACAGCCTCTACCTACCTCAGGGGTGGGGGGGCAGGTCCTATATGAAGTAGGCTAATACATGGCATATTTGAGGGAGGAGGAGCAAGCAGTCATCTCCCTTCAGACCCCTGCATTCTGAATGCTGTGAGTTGAATGGTGTGGCCCCTCGAGTGACTCTTGCTCTTGAGATGCTCTGCTCGCTTCACTGTGCTCTGTGAGGTTCGCTTACTGCCTCTCTACTTCTCTGGGGACACTGGCCACCTCTTCAGACCTCTGCCCCTCACAACCATTTGCTCTTTCACAACATCCCACCCTGACCCTTTTTGTTACCTGTCAACATCCTACGGGTGTTGCCCTCTCCAAAATGGCCAGACATGGCCTAGATCAGAGTTTATCATTTCCTTCTCTGGGTTTCCGTATACATTATATTCCTTGAGTCTCACAGTTATGTTTTTTGGTCATTCCTCTTGCTCTGTCACTGTTCAATGTATGGTCTCTGCAAAACGCTTTCTCATACAACCCTATGAGGTAAGTGTTTTTTCACATGGGAAATGGGAAATGGGAGTTGAGAGAGGAGAGGTGACCTTCTCTATGGTTTTGTGGCTCCTACATTTCTGAAGCAAGTCTGTTGTCCTCACCCAGGTGCTCTCCTGCTTGCCCTTCTCTTCCTGGCAGTTCTGGCTCCCAGGCCCCGTGTGATGGTGATACTTCCTTGTAAGAATGTAAGCTTTGTTTCCCCATTTAAGCAATAAGACATGGTTTCTCACTCGTCCTTATGTTCCTCTTGGCTCCTATTATGCTACTGTGTTTTTAGTAGGAATGATTGTGTATGGTCAAATGTATGTCTGTATGTTCTTCTGTATGTATATATTTGGATGGATGGCGGATGGCTGGATGGGTGAGTGCTCTGCTCAGTAATTCTTCTCTTGCAATAAACAGTTTGGAATATGGCATCCTCATTTGAAGCAACTCAGTCTCATTTAATTTCTGAAGTCTTGATTCTTTCTTGCAATTCTGCCAATCTCTCTCTCTCTTTTTTTAATATAACCTTTTTTGAATACGTGAAAGAAGAAATTTCCCTTGCATATATACATTTTAAAGATAAATATGGGGAAAGGTTCATGGATATTCAGACTTTGTTTTTAAATGAAGCTGCATCTCTTCATCTGCTCTGTATTATGACATGATATTGGTTGGAAGTGTGAGATTTGCTTTACTCTCTATTTAATTTAAGTGTTAGTGCGTTTTCTGTTACTCTAAACACTTACAATTTATGTTATTTTTTATTTATATTTTTATACATTTTTAAAGTTCATATCCGTTTTCCTTTTCCTTACCCCCACCCCCCTGAGGTCCATTTAGAATGCTCTGAACCCTTAGTAAAATCCCCAGACAGTAGGTAACACAGTTTTTACGCACAGGGTGAACTGAAGATGCCGGGGTCTTGTGCCCTAGCTCACCTGTTCTTTGCCTTTAGTACATACTCTACCTTAGTTTCTCGCCCCTAGAAACATTCACAGCTTAGTTCAGAGCCTGATGTCTAAGAAGCTTAACTGCAAAGACAGCAAGTTAGAATTAATAGAAAGCATACAGTCTCTCCTTTTCTGGTGGAAATGTGAGAAGTGCAGGGCACAGGGTAGAAGTTGTTTGCTCAGAGATGCACGGCCTGCTCAGGGCTGAACTCGGGTCACCTGTGTCTGAGTCCAGAGTTACACAGGACCTGGGACTATATTCTAGTGAGACTTCTTTCTCACTGTGCCATAACCTCTTCATCTACCTCGTAGAATTCTTATCACAATGTGCCTCCCAACGCACTTCCTTGTAAATGAGCCTGTGTCCTTGGAGACAGGTAGGCTTGGAGTTTGTGGAGGCAGGGGCTGCCTGACTCACTCCTTTGCTCCCAGGGACACGGACAGGATACCTACCACCTAGTAGGTTCTCTGCAATGTTGGGAATAATGGTTAAGCCGTAGCGATAAAAACCTGCCTATTCAGGCACAGATCCCGGCTTCACAGCTACCTGTTAGGTGTTAGGCTTTGTGTTTGAATTACTTTTATCCTCCTACTCCCCATTCCTTGAGCTTTTTAAGTCCAGGAGTGATGGAACCACTGCCACCTGGAAGTTTTCAATGCCATTTCTTACCTTCATGTTATGTCTACAGTGTCTGAGGTGAGCTTTCTCATTTTTGTATTCTGACTGAGAGTGGCTAAGTACCCACATGTTCTGCGCATCAGCTTATATTTATGGGATCCCATATGTCATGAGTTTTCTCTCTTTTTAAAAACAATATATGTATTTTTTTATTTAAGTGATCTTTATACCCAACGTGGGGCTCAAACTCAAAACCCCGAGATCAGGAGTCACAAGCTCTGCTGACTGAGTCAGCTGGGAGCCCAACTGTCATAAATTCCTTTTAAAAGGTATTCTGCTAATAACCTTTCTCTAAAGGGCTTTGTTGTTTTTCCTGTTTAGTTAGTTGCTCTTTAGGCCTTCAGATCCCCGTTTCTTGCTACTATTGTTCTCAAACTTTCTGGGGATCTTCTTTAATGACTTGTATCTAGCATCTCAGTCTTCTTTGAGTAACCCTGCATTTCTTTTTTTTAAGGACTTTATTTATTTATTTGACAGACAGAGATCACAAGTAGGCAGAGAGGCAGGCAGAGAGAGGAGGAGGAAACAGGCTCCCCGCTGAGCAGAGAGCCTGATGTGGGGCTCAATCCCAGGACCCTGAGATCATGACCTGAGCTGAAGGCAGAAGCTTAACCCACTGAGCCACCCAGGCGCCCCTAACCCTGCATTTCTAAATGCCTTCTTGTGTTTAATACATTAAGCTTATGAGCCCATATATATTTTTTATTATTTTGCCTGCTTACAAAGTTTATACTGTTAAATACCTGTGGTTGGGGTTTTTTGTTTGTTTGTTTGTTTGTTTTGTTTTGTTTTGTGGGATGTTTGTTATGTATGTATGATTTTTGTCTCATCATCCTCTATTTTTGGCTGATGAGGACAACAAGATAATTTTTTTTCTGGTCTTTAAGTACTTGCCAGTAATGTTCTGTATTCTGTAATATGGGTCTTCCCTCTTCTCCAGATTTGCAAAAACAAAACCAAACCAAAAACACAAAGCCTTAGACTTTGATGGCAAAACCAGGGTATAGATCTTTTTCTGTTCTTGGTAGATACGAAAGTAAGTGAACTTTCCCACTTTACTAATACATTATTCTCTTGAGATGGTTCTGAAATGTTCCTG